ATAAATGCAGGATATACTATTCCACGGAATATTCGAATAGCTTCGTAAGAGGTTGAAACCCTAACAACGCGAAGTAATAACCAAAGGTAGTATACCTCGCTTGTAAAAGGTAGAACGTGAACTAATCTTCCAACATTGGTATTCACATTATGAGGAATCCATCTTGAAAGAGCATAATCACATCTAGGCCTAGAAGAGAATTCCACATAAATAAAAGTCAAAGTCGAAGTACACATGCAATTATATTCTAACCAACTCATAAACTGAAGAGAGCATTAGCCCTAGGGGAACGTTAATCCTATCAAGCTAAACAAAAGTATGGATTGATTTAGTTCAACTATAGCAAAAATGGGTCGTATATGTAGCGTTCGATTAATTTTGGCGTATGCTATCATTCTCACGTCGCGTTTTCACTTATCTTATTACATTGTACAATCATTTATATATATCGTCACCTATCATTATTTTAAACTGATTTCTAATACTATCTAGTTTTTGGAATAATTCGTTCAACAAAATATTTTATGAACTAAGATTTACATAATCAAAAACATATTAGATAATTTTTATCACATATTTTGTAATGGAGTATAATATAATCCTATACTAATGCTAATAGACTTATAAATCCTATATAAATAACCTATCAAACACAAAATAATAATGTTCAAAATTCAATAATATTTTGATTGATAAAATCTTCATAATCACGATACAACTATTTTAGGATTTAGTATTATAGTAATTAAGTTCAGCGGAATTAGCCGTTCATCTTTATCATAAAACATCTTTTATTATTTAAAACCAATGATATTTTAATGGTCAATGTTAGCTCAATATTCTCATTAAATCATATATTAAAAAATCGAAAATTCACATTTTTTTTTCTTTTCCTTTATCTAGCAACTTTTTAAATATTACCTTTTCTAATTATAAAGTTGACTTTTCCTTTTATACATGAACATTTTTATTAAAAAAAATAAATCATAATGGAAAACATATAAGGGGTGG